ACCCTGCTTCTCTGGCTGACCTTTAAGGTTAGGGCCTCTGGATATAAGCTCATGAGAGACAGCACGATAAGGCAAATTCAACTGCCTTGGGGCTCACAAGAATGCAGTTTTTCATTTCAAATAGACCCCAAAAATCCCAATGGTCACATACAAGCCATTCCTAGTCTATGAGGTTAATGCAACAGACCCACCGTCATCAGGCCAAGCATTCTGAACTACTTTTTCTCATGATAGGTTCTCCTACTCAGGAGAACTACGCATGTGAGAGACCTTAGCAGAGGTCAGGGCTGAGGTTCTCGGGTGTGAAGAGCTGCCCTGTGCAAAGTCAGATGGATCACACAGGGATCAAGCTGGGACGCCTACATCAATTGACTTTTCTATTTACAAAATGCCTAAGGGTTTAAAAAGGGGAGCACAGTCCACTCCCATACAACCCAACAGACTAGCCACGTCCCCCATTTCTAATGCCATCCATAAGCACCCAGAATTCACTCTCTACTATTTAGCAACATTCCAAACTTCCCACATTACTCACAGGTCAAAACTAACCAGCAGAGTGGGAGGCCTTCAGAACATCGCTGAACAAGGTTGTTCTGGCTCAAGTATCTTTTCCTGATTTGGAAAATGCTTCTTCTGACCTTCCTCAAACACACTACACTCAGAATTAAGCAAAATACAAATTCAAATACGATCTAACATAATGTACCAAGATAAGATGCTTTATAAAATAATCAGTCTTCAGATATTTTTCTTCCCCTTCTTCCATCTCCAGAAAGCTTATCCTATAATATCTAACAGGCTACAACAAGGATCAGCCAGGGAGGAGGGCATCACCATGGGAAATCAGCCAGAATTGTTTAGAATCCAACAGAAAACTATTTTAAAACTATTTTCAATTGTTAGTTGAAATGGAAAACCATTTTCCCTGTCTACAAAGCTCTGATTTAACTCTTTTTCCTCAGCGATTAAAAATTCATTTTCCCGATCTTCACATTTTTCCATCTCCCATTTTTAAAATGTCTTCCTTTCTCCATATCTAACTAAAGTTTGAATCTCACTTATTTCAGATTCAGATTCAACAAACCTTTGACTGCAAGCCTGTGCTGAGCAATGCATAGTCAACTCACACTATTACCTAGAGGTTATCACTTTACACATGAAGGAACAGGGGCTCCATTAAGTTGGGTGACTCTCCTGCTTTCACAGACCTTGCAAGTGGCATCTCCAGAGTTCCCAAGTCTATGCTTTCAATGGGAACTCCAGGTAAAATGTTTCCCCAGTATTGCTTGCATCTGGCTTTATCCTTCTGGAATCTTGCTCAAGATAAGTTACATGGTTTAGGGAGGGGTTTTTGCTACTGGTAATCTCAGCTTGGGATCAAAGATTATAAGCAACCCACAGAAGGGTAAATCCAGCTGTTGTGCACAGGAAACACCCTTCACAGAGGACCTTCTCCCTGGGTTCAAATAACCTGACATTAATTCCTCCCGGTTTGTAGATTTCATCCACACAAAGGTTCACAACTAACATAATCAGGTCTTATTTATGTCATTTCCATCCTCTAAGCACTACACTGTTAGCTCAAAGGCCCAGAGCACAGCCTCAGCCAGCCCAGCAGGTGCTGGTCGTACTAGATATTAAGGGCGCCTGGAGTCAGGGCTTGTAGGGGAAGAAAAGGAGGGCATTCTAATACCAAGAAAAATCTGATATATGCTGATATGACAACAACTACTAATAATAATTATGGCATCATTTCAGAATTTCAAGGCATAACTATTCACAAAATATTAACATTACGTGAAAACCCACCAAAACATAATGCTATCTCTATGACCAAAGGCAAGAAAACCCACATCATTGAGCCCTTCCAGGAATTCAAGCCTGTCTTTTCTGCCTGTTTGTTTGCTGGCTTGCTCTGGCGTTACCCTGCACATCCTATCTTTCATGAACACAAGAGTCACGCCTATCCTTTTCTGGAGAAATCTCCAGGCCGGAAATTTTACCTCTGGTGGCTTTTAAATGCTAAGATGCTATACAAAACGTTACACTGAAATCCTCAGTAGACAGTCAAAACTGTACCTCTGCTGGTGGGAAAAAGTCACAACCTTATTCACCTAAATTATACTGACGATATCAAAAATACTACCAGGATATTAAATGACTTCAGAAACAATAACACGTCTCAGTTCCAATTTGTGACACATTAAGTGGGACCTCCCCAGCCCAAATAGGTAAAAATAGGAGAACATTCCAGAGACATATGCAAATTAGTTACTGCCCTCAATTGAACCACAGCTGGTTTATTGATGGAAAGAAAGAATAACAAAAGGATGTCTAAAGTGTTGAAAGGTCAGAGCAGTAAAGGATGAATAAGAAATACACTCAGCCCATACAGTGCAATGATGTAGCACGTGTGAATACTCAATTTACTACCCCAAAGACTCAGCACAGGGTTATTCTCCTTTGATCTAGAGAGGAAATGCTTTACACTGTAAGAATAGCTGGTCTTTTTACACTGGCTATGGCATCAGTTCAAGGGATCCTCTGTACCCGTTGCAAGCAGTAAATTTCCTCATTGGCATTGTAAAAATCGCAATAAGTAGTATTTGGTGTTATTTGTTAGTAAACTTTCTTACTATTACTTTTTAAATGAAAAGCCATGGATCTTCCTTAGAAGGCCCCTGGTAAAAAGTCAGATGATGTTGCAGGACACTGCAATATTTGCTTGTTCTAGGGTGGGTTCAGTGACAATTTCTCCTCCTTCACTCTGGCAGATTCTATTTAATGAGTTTATTTAGATACAGGTCTTCCTGCCCTTGCAAGTCACGAAGCTTCTTAGATTCAAGAAGTCCAGGTCTGTTTAATCTAAGTATCTATGAATTAACACTGGGTGTTTGCTGCCAGTCTACTGAGCCACCGAATCAGAATTCAGGGAAATGGGGATTTTACTTTCTTCCTCCTTCCTCCCATCCTAAAAAGCAGGATTCGCGCAGAAATAGGCCTGGACCAGACAGTCCTAGGTCCCAATCATGGCTTTGTCACTGTCTAGCTGGGTGACCCTGTGCAGGTCAAATTCTCCAGTCTTGGTTTTCTCTTCGCTCTACGTGAAGTAATATCCCACCAAAAATGGTCGTTTTGCAGACTACGAAAGAAGTGTACATGCAAGAACTTATTCTTCCAAATACACTATTATGTGGGAGATGCTCAGCGTTAGCTGAATCTGAGACATGGGTCTCTGGAAAGACGATTAACACGACTAGTTTCACTACTGTCCTTCCCAGTTACACTCCTGGGTGACAGGCAGCAACCAACGTTAAGCTCATGTAAAAAGACTTAGCCAGATTCAACACTTTGTTCAAGCAAAAAAAAAAAAAAAAAAAGAAGCCAGTAGAATCCTAACAAGCCATTAGAATGGAACGCTCCTGAACATAACAGGCACTCAGGCAACAAAATCCGGCTGGTGTCCCTTCCTTCCTGGTGTATGGGGAGGAGGGTGATGCATACCATGCCCCTTGCCCTAGTCTCAGTTCTCCACAGGACTGACTTCTCTGAAACACGGGTCCCTGGGGACCCGGGAAGCACAAGACCTGGCGCTCCCGCTCCTCTGAACCCCCCAGCGCTCCCTAGCTCCTTCTAGATGAGGGACCAGCAGTTCTGCCTCCTCTCTCAGTGCCGAGCTCCCTAGGCAGCCTAGGGTCACCGCGCTCCAGGGCTGGCGTTCCTGGACGTGGAGCGCAAGGGCATCAGAACAGTCTGTGCTCTCCTGCTCCAGTGGCACCGGCTGGCACCTTCCCCCGCCTTCACCCCTGCAGGGCACGGAGGACGCGCGCCTCCGGAGCAGTCCCACCAACGCGTCTGCCGCGAGGGCGCCCCCGTCACCCTCGCCTCCCAGCCCCTGCAGAGTCTCGCCAGAGTCTGGCCAGGGTCGGCCCAGCCAAGCGAGTGGAAGGGGTGTTGGGGGGGGGTACTTTCTGGGACCCGCTTACATAGCCCTCTCCACCCCATTTCTCGCAGGAAAGGAAGCGAGGAAGCCAAGACCAGTTAGCCTGGAGGTACCTCCAAATCTGTTGCGCTTCCGACCATCCCCATAACACCACTCAACTCATTGTCCCCTAGCCAGGCACTTTTGCCGAAAGCCCGCGAACGGCACCCCACAAAAATCTGGCGCCCCGCTGCCCGCCCACCTCTCCCCCGACGGCGCCGCCTCCGGACCCCGCACGTCCCTCCCGGGGAACACTCACAGTTTTCCCAGGGCAGAACCGCGTCAGCGGGTCTAGCGAGTTTCCCACCTCCTCCTCCGACCACCCCTTGGGGAACCCCCACGCTAATCCCGCGCGAGAGGCGAAGAAGCCGGGAGTCTCCCCCAAAATCTGCGCTCCCGCCGAGTCCGGCTTCCTCCTCCCTCCCTCCGCCGCTCTCTTCCCTTCCAGCTCCAGTCCCCGCGCCTCCTGAGCCTCCAGCGCCCAGCGGTCCTCTCGCCCAAGAAGAGAAAACTTCTTTCTGGGCTAAATTCAAGCCCGAGCAAGAAAGGCTTTCCCTTCCCCGCCTCCCTCTTACCCCGGCTCTCAGAAACCATAAGGAGCTGGCACCAGGGGCGCGCTTACCTCCTACTCCCCCAAAACAGCTCAGGCTACTAGTGCTCTCTGACTTTCCATGTCAAAAGGTCTGATCGAGTCTGACACCACCAAGGGGGTATACACACTCACGATTCTTCCAGAGAACCCCACCTGTCCCTCGTGGCTTGTAAGAAACAAGTAAACAAAACATAAACCCCAGCAACTTTGGGGAGTGTGGGTGTGTGTGTGAGAGAGAGAAAGAGAGAAGAGGGACGTACAGAGAGAGAGCATCGCTCAAGAGTTAGGGCAACAGCTGCAAGAGCACATCTGGAAGCGGGGGAGGGGGGATTAACGAGGAGGGGACAAGCGTGAGGTCGAGGGGGACTCCCCCCCTCCCTGCCCCCGGCAGCTTCAGGGCCGAGGGCCGGGCCAGCCTGTGGTTACCTGTCCCATGTTGATGAATCCGTACTTGCTGGCGATGCGGTTGGCCTCCGGGAAGCCGCCGGCGATTTTGACTGCCCAGTGGTTGGTGTAGACGCGCGTCCGGCACACGGGGAGCAGGCAGCCCCCGAGCAGCGCCAGCACGCACAGCAGGTCCAGGCGTCCCGGGCAGCAGCAGCGGCTCCCCCAGCCCATGGCCCCGGCGCTTCACTGCCTCCCTCGCTCGCTCGCTCTCTCCACGCACTAAGCTGCGCGCACAACTAACTTCTCCGGCCTGGGCCGCCCCGGCGCGCAGCCCCCGGGCCGCCCCGGCTCGCAGCCCTGGGCGATCGGCAGGAGGCGGCGAGCCCCGGCAGGGAGCAGAGCAGCGAGCTTAGCGCCGGCTCCTAGACCATCCCTGGGGCTGTGGGGACCTGTGCTCCCTGCTCTCCGGCCCGCGGGGCGGTCGGCCGGCGCTGGCCGGCTCAGAAGCAGGAGGCGGCTGAGCGGGGCGGGCGCCCTCCCGCAGTTGGGTCTCGCCGGGCTCGGCTCCCGGACTCTCCGACTCGCCCTCGCTCCTCCCGGGGCCCCCGAGCGCGGCGGAGGCGGCGTTGCAGGCAGCGGCCGGGCGCCCCCTCTGCTGGCCCGGGCTCCGAGCGCTCACTAGCTTGCTCCCTGCGCTCCCTCGGGCTCCGAGCAGCGCGCGGGGAGTGTGAGTGGCAATGGCAGCAGCGCCTGCTCTGCATAAATGACTCCCCCCCTTAACACCCCTCCTTTCCCACATCCCCCTCCTCCTTTCCCTCCTCCTCCCGCCCGAAAGCGGCCGCAGCCAGGCGCCAACCAGGTCCTAGCGCCGCCGGGTTCTCCCGGCTGTAACCTCCAGGGTCCCGGGCAGCAAAAGCAAGTCTTTCCAAAGGACTTGGAGGAGAGCTCCGGCGTCATGGTTTTACCCGCTTCTCTCCCCGCCTTCCTGGATTTGTATTAATTTACCGCTACTTCCCGAAAGACTAAAAGAGATTTACAAGCCGGTGCGAGTCAAGCGCCCCGAAGATTCATTCATCCTCGCTCTGAACCTCCTTAAACAAGTATTTAAGGAGGTCACTTGCGTGTCAATTGCCGAACAAATAACCCGAGATTTTCACTTCGTTAATTCTTCGTGCTTCTCAGCAACTGTTTATTTTACACGTTCTGCTCCCGGGAGAAGCTACCACACAGGACTGTAAGGAGCATCGGCTCTTGCAAAAACCAACCACTGGCTCCGAAACCAAGCCTGTTTCCTGCGGACTTTCGAAATCTGTGCATCCGATACTCGGCAACGCTACCGGAGAGTAAAATTCCAGCCGCGGAATTGAGGGAAGATGTTTCTATCAATATTTGGTTTGAAAGTAGATGGAGATGTTGAGCCAAGGGAGTAACTTCATTCATTCGCTGCACTGAGTCTGATGAGGGCATCTTTTTTCCACCAAGGGAAAAGTTTTCCAACTTTTCCAAACACGGCCCTGTAACAGTGAGAGACTTCAATATAAAAAGGACCACAGAGGAAGTTCTGATGAAATATGTGGCTGCGCCGCTTTCATGGCTCTATCAGGCACTGTGGCCTGCAACACGCAGGAGGGAGCTCGGATTAACCCGCTTCTGCTGAACAACCTCCCCGCCTCTTTTGGCACAGGATGATTTCTTGTGAAAAGAAAATTTACCCTTTATGAAATAATTCAAGTGACTTTAAAAGCATTCACTATATCCCGAACTCCCTCCCTCCTTTCTTTTTCTCTCCTTTTCCCATCCCCCATTATCTCTCTTCCTGAACATTGGTTACATGTATTTGAGATTATTTAACCAAGCACACCTATAGCTTTGCGTAAAGATTCTTTTATCTGCATATATCTTCACTTGGCTCTCCTCTCCCCTCAGCTGAACCATATCTGAAAACTCAAAATTCATAAATTTAAAGTTCACAAAATTCATAAAATTAAATTCATAACTCAAAATGATCATTTTATGACATTTTACACATCATATAAAGCATGCTACATATTATGTAGCCTTGAACACAAACCCATAAAATAACATTATCTCCATGTTACTGATGAAGAAGTGGAGGGTTGGAAAAACCAAATCATTTGCAGAAGGGCACATGTTTTATTAATTTATGTGTTTGACTGATTCGACACATCTCTTTTGAGCACCTTGAATGTTGCAGGCATGGTAATGGATGCAGGAGAAAGAGGAAGAGGGAAGGAAAGGGAGGGGCAGAGGGGTAGTGGAATTCAGACTCCGAATAACTAGAGTAAATGTCGTTTGTTACTCTTGTTGTTGTTGTTGATCGGTGGAAAAGCGTAAGCACATGCTTGCGCTTTAGTTTTGGCACAGCCTGGCTACCAGCCAGTCCCTTTGTACACACCTCTTCCTCCCTCCCGAACCTGGAGTCCAGAAAGTTTACAATCTATTAGATCACTGTTAATTGCCACTCAGACCACCTGCATCTACCCATGGGGACATTGGATTATTCCTCTAGAAGCTGATGGGTTTCAGATGGGATGGGAAGATCTCAATTAAGAGCCAAATCTCAATACACATACAAGAGACAGTCAGTCTTTCTTCAGAATTGTGGGCACTTGCTGTCAGACGGGAGGGAGAGCCTGTTCTGACAATGATCGAGGGAGGGTGGCCTCTATGAGGACTGCACAGGGAACTTCCTGAGTCAAGTTTGAAGCCTGGCCCGTGGGTTTCTCTGGGACTCTGGGGCCATTATTATTCAGGATTGCAAACGCAGTGCAAAATGCTTCTCTTTGAAAGCCCTGTTGCCTCTGGGCTTCAACTTCTGAAAGAAATGAAGAGGAATCACTGCCCCAGGTCCCCTGAGGCCTTGAGGTTGTTTCCTAAGAGTGGTAAAATCACTCATTGATATTTTTTCTCCATGATGTCTTTCTCTTTTTCTTTCCACTAACACTCTCGCCTTCTGTGAGCGTGCCCTGGTTGGCACACACACACACAGCGTTTGCTGCATTGAACATGAGAGAAAATTGGAAAATGAGGTAGGAAATGGGCAAACCACTTTTCTGCTTTGTAAACTAATCCCTGGGCCAATATTTAGCTTACTCAAAGGGTAGGTTCTTCCATTTGGATGCATATGTATTTAGAAGGGAAAAACCTAGCTCTGTTTAAAAGAAGCAGATTTGGAACCCCCATTTGTCTGTCAAATCAAACCCATGAATGCATATTCATTCATCTTCCTGTCCATCCCTTTTGCAGTTGTCTCCCGCTGCAATTATGTGTACATTCTGGAAGAGTGTGATTTTTAAACCTAAGTGATACCGAAGAAGCCCCTCTCCCATTGATGCACAGGCACAGTCTGATTCCTGCTTTGGGATTTACCTTAATGAACTCATTAGCTTCCTTGATTAGAGCCAGTTGGCCAGAATGAAGTTTCCAGATAAGGATCAATAGTGGCAGCAAAAAACATCTTCTTTCATGACCTTAAGCTCTATTGGTTATCATCGTCAGCCCTATTGTCAATGCCGCAGTAGCCAAAGGCACAAGGAACTGATAGAATAGTAATGGTTAGTGCAAACCATTGCTAAGATTGGAAAAGAAGCCGAAATCCAAATTTTGCACAAATGCTTCCTTTTTGTATGTGAAGAGTAGCTCTGCACGATTTGACCCTCGACTCTCCCTCTGTGCCATATTGTAGGAAACTAGGCAGTTTTAAGTTTTACTCTGCCTTATACTTAGCAGCTTATTACTTGATAATGAGGCCCCACTAGTGTTTGGCCTCTCTGCCAAGGTCCCTCTCCTAGCTCCAAGGGAAAATTTCAGTGAAATGCAATGAACAGAAATCCAGGCAATTTAGAAGGAGAAGTGAACAAGCGTTCCATAGGACTCATCTTGAAACTCTGCAAATGCAAATTATTCTGGGAAGAGTTTGCCTTATGAGATGCCTCATTTCTTCCTCTGCTACATCCTTTGCTGGAAATTGACCTTTAAGATCTCTTCTAACCTGAGATCCTGTGAATCAGTGATAAATTGGTAATGGACTGTTCGGAGCTGACCAAAGGGGAAAAATGCCCCCAGAAATTTCACTGCCCAGAAGAGTCACCAAATTTACGGGGATTCTAATCAGTTTTCCAGTATTTCAAATTCAGAAGCTGCAGTGAAAATCTGTCAAATTTAATAACAATAATAATAATAAATGGTAGTTATCACTCCACTTATTAAAGACTAGTTATATGCCAGGCACTAAGCCAAACACATTTCAGGCCTTAATCTCATTCACCAAGCATCAGAGCTGAAAGAGACCTTGGATATCATAGAATCTAACTTCTTTATTTAATAGAGAAGAAAACTGAGGCCAATAGAAAACTAACTTGGAAGACAGTAGTTCTATCATGGAAAAATAAATTAATGAATGGATGAATAATATAAATAAAACAAAGCAAGGGCTACATGGACCAAAGATGATAGTGTGCTATGAATCTGGGATAAACATTAATCTAATTTGCATACCTGGGTTAATAAAATAAATTCAATCAGGAGAATGGAAACTCGACTTATTTCAGTTTCCTTAGGTGTTTAACTACAGCCATTTAAAAATATGATTCATGACACTTGTAGGCCCAGGACAAGAGTTAATCCAGGGCCTGATATTACTTTTATTGCATAATATTTATAAAATGGGACACTAACACATGACTAACATCCGCAGATTTCAGGAAGCTTTAGCTCTGTCTTTGACCTGTTTGAAGTTGACCTAGATTGGTAGAGTTGACTGTCTTCTGTGGACATTTACATCCTACAACGACAAACTGGTTCCCAGAAAGCTTTCCAGTTGGAAACAAAGGGTAAAGGTTGTAGGTGCCTCCCTTCAGATATATACAAAGGAAGTGGCACCAACTCTGCTACCTTCTAGCTTCTACCCGTGGTCCCAGAGCAGTGTCCCCTCCAGGATGGACATGACGGATGGATGTGGTGTCCCCCCATCCGCACCTCAGACTCTATTTCAGGGAAGAGCAGGTAGAGAAAGGGTGTGGCAAGTCAGAGCAATAGGCCTGGATCTTGGAGTTTCACCCACCAAAAGGAATGCTTCCTATGACAATGATAGTGACCCTCCCCCTAGAGTCAAGACTACTCGCTCTTTCTGTAGTGCCTCTGGATCTTTCTTTCCAAACCATTTTATTAGCTCTTTTATTCTTAAAACTCTCAGAGAAACAGGGGTTTATTAAGCACTGACTCCACAACTTGGTCTTGCTGAGGAAGACCAAGTTAAAGGGACCCAGGAATTAAAACACTTTTTGAGTCCAGGCGGTAGCTCTAACTCATTGATGCCAAATGATACATTGTGATTCAAAGCGTATTCAGTATGGCTTTTAGTTGTTTATCTGAAGGAAGATAAATTTATGACAAAATTCCTTCGCAAATACTTTGTATGAGTACATCCTTTACGCTTACTACATTCTGCCATTTCCAGAAACTGTATGTCTAGATCGCACACCACTAATGTGTGTGACATAACTTCATTCTTCCCACAGCGTGTTCAGGATGTAGTTATTACACAACCATTGTGTAGGTATTGTTCAAGCACCTCCCTACCAGCCTTCCCTACCCACACTTCAGATTTTAGTAATGTATGAACAAAAAGACATCTTTTGTTGCCCTTAACCCTTAGATACCTGGTAAAGGTATTTATCAGTAAGGTATTTCAGACCCAAAGCGCACTGCAATAGTTTGCCTGGAAGAGAAGGCGTTCAGTTTAAA